GACATCACTGCATCCTCTTTTTAGGCTTCCACCATGGATCCAGTCAAATCGTTAAGTTGCCCAAACTTTGTTATTAATGCACCCATAAAATCTGCCCTTCGTGAGGGAGCATCTGCAACCTTGTTGTACGCCCCCTTTAGATACTGGAGTTCAAAGTCATATTGGTTTATGACTTCGATCCATCTCTTGAGTGCAACAGAGAGTGTCGGTTGCATCTTGATCCATTTGAGAGATTGATGGTCAGATCTCACAATGAAATCTTGCCGAACAGTTAATGCCTCCAAGGCCTTGTAAAGGGCGTAGAGCTCGCGCTCATATGTAGATTTCGCTGACTTTTGAGATGGCATCTTCTTACTCATGTACTCAATAGGCCTCAACCTTTTCCCCTCCTGTTGCTGCAAAACGCGCCAATGTCGTCACGTCGGTGGTTACATGAACGGCTTTTCGGGATCCGGTAAGCTTCAAAACCTCATGATGTGTAAGAGCATACTTGAATCTTCCGTCCACTCCTATGTCAAGGCCCGTGAGGTCTGTCAATAGGGTAGCGATAGTGCTATAGTTCTTGACAAACGGGCGGTAGTACCCCATCATCCCCAAGAAAGACCTGATCTCGGTCACAGACTGAGGTCGTGGCTAGTCACGTATGCTAGCCACCTTCGCATTTTCGGGCCTCAATCCCTCTGCCAAAATTTCATGACCCAGATACAAGATCTGGGTGTGACCAAACTCGCATTTCTTCAAGTTAATCTTGTACTGGTGTTGACGAAGGAGATTGAGCACCAAGTAAACACGTGCTTCGCGTGCTCCTCCACACTCCTACTAAAGGGAGACGTAGTAGGCCGGATCCAACCCTTCTTAGTTAACTCTTTCAGCTAGCTGCGGAGCTCATCCAACTCCGCAGAAGACATCTTATAGATACGTCCTTTGTGTGTTGTGCTACCCCGGAACGATCTTAATCGTGTGGACGGCCTCCCTATCTACCACCCCCGTAGGTTCTCGGAAAAGGTGTGGATAACGAGCGTCGACTTCTTCTAGTTCCAGGGATGTTTTTACGGCCTCCCCTTTCTCAGAGACAAGGACTAAGTATATACTCTGCTCTTGGTTTTGTTTATAGTAATTGAAGAACGAATGTACATACGTGGAGGCATACGATTCCACTAACCTGCTAGCTTTCCACTTCGTCAGGCTAACGGTCTCCCCACTTGGCAACTTGTGCAGCAGCACTTTACTGTCCCAGTCAAAGTGAGGGTATGCTACCTCGAGGTAGTACATACCTATTAGCATATCGAAGGGCAAATCATCGCTGACCAGGAACAAAAACTTATGATTCAGTTCCCCTCCTCCATATTAGAAGGTAAAATCTATGTCTCGGACATAATCTATAATGAGCAGTCGTTGCTTGTTGGCTAGTGTAGATGCTACAGATCGACTAAGCCGTTGCACTTGGTCCCCACTCGACTGATGAAATTCCTAATGGAGCCAATGTCTGCGAAGGCACCACACTTGCGGTCACCTACACTTCCACTACGAAATGTTCACCTCTAGGACCTCGAGCCATAGTCGCCCAAGAAGTTAGAGGGTCTTTCTAAGACCACTCCTTCTCAAACTCTTTTGAGGACCGAAGCACAACCATCAAACAGGGCATCGGTTGGTCTGGATCTGTCTGGGGGGCAACAAGGGAGTCAAGAGCCTCGACCATCATATGAAATGGTGAGGGTGAGTCCACCATGTCAGCTCGAGTAGGAGCAGCTACTACTGCTACTGGGTAGATGTGTTTCCTTGGGATGTGCTCAAAGCACTGCCGTGGGATGAAGACGCAACCGGCCCAACTGTGGGCGGCACCTTCGTCGCGACTTTGTTGTTCTTGCAGCGCGCAATGGTGTGACCACTCTGGCCACAGTTAATGTGCGCCCCCCTCACATAATGGTCACGCCACATATCCTCCTCAAGACACGTTTTGACCCAAGCTGGTGCATTGGGGTTCGTCCCACTCCCAGACCCGCTTTTCTTACGCTTACCGGTCCCATTACCCTTTGTTACAGGGGCCACAACCCCACCCTGAGAAGTCTCTTGGCCCCCAACCTGCTCTATCTCTTCCTGAAGATCAATTAAGTCTTCCACCTCCTGCTTGTTGCCATCAGCATCGATGTACAGAAGGTTGGCCCCCTTCTTCGTCCAATCTTGGGTGATCTTTTTTGTCCCGTCCGCTGGCGCCTGCTGCGCGCTCCCAAGCTTTGCCTCTAAGTCCAAGGCCGTCTTATTGAAATAAGGGAAATTATGCATGTCAGTGGACGCCTCGTTGACTAACGTATACTTTACGTCTGTGGGAAGGCTTCTCAAATATGTAGTCATGAGGATCTGGGGGTCATACCGCACCCCTGGGACAATGATTAATCTTTCTACAGCGTCGGTAACATCGCGGACAAATCAGCACTCCTTCGGGTCCAGCTTAGCCAACGTGTCGGTGGCATTCGTGGGCATCCTGCAGATCGTGCCATCTCTCCTCTACCAACATCAGAAACGAATTCAGATCTCGGGCCCGTGCCCAACCGTCAAAGTTTCGACCGTATCCCTCTTGCTGTACTATCTTATCTAACCACGTTGCTGCAGATCCTTCCAAGTAGGATGCAGCCATGATTACCCCTTGTTCGGGTT